TAGTAATGTACTAATCTAGTATCTGGTAATAATAGATCTAGTAATAATAAATCTGGTATTCGAAATCTAATCTTAATAATTAAGAGCCTATACTGTATACAAAATTATATTGTATTATATGGGCTTTATATTATATAAACTTATATAAAAGAGCTTCTCAAGTCCATCGTTGTGAAGGGCTTAGAAAAATCAAAAACCATTCAAAGCCATTCATATTAATTGTAATTTTTATTAAAAAATTCAAGATTTATAATATTGTCAAATATGAATAAAGAAAAGTAATTTGATAAGTTTACAAATGAATGATATTGAAGTGAATTTTCATGCTTATTAATCGATGATAAGCCTATATGATTTTTAATTGCTTAACTCTCTACAAGTCGATCTGTAATAATACTGATAACAAAAAACTACCATATCACAGCCACCCCAATTATCATCATCTTTAATTTCCACCTTCACAACCTCTCTATCATCATCATCATCATCATCACCATAAATTTTCCTTTAGAAAATTAAGTCATCATTCTTTATAAGAACTTTACTACAAATTTCATCAGAAAGAAGTCATTATCTGGTATTGTACAGTACATAAAAGACTTATAATTGAAACTATTAATAGTAACCTCAATACTGAAACAACGCTTACAAAAAAGTGAAAATAAATTTTAATTTTCTTTAACTGAATAATAAGTGGATTATTAAATATTCTGTACAAAAATAAAATTTCATAGAAGGAAAAAGGTAGAGGTGTATGAAATATTGNTTTATAAAAGTTTCTTATTGAACTCTGGTTTCTAAAAGGAAATTTTATCCATCGAAGAAATCATTTTAGAATAAACTTTTGAAATTTGAATAATGAATTCGTTTTTACTGAACAAAAAAAAAGTTAATCTTTCAAACAGTTCTTCTATTTTTAACAACCAAAAAAATATAAAATAATTATGTAATTTTATATATTAATTTAGTTAAAATTTTAATCTTAAAATAAGAAGGAAAAAAGATAGTAGTGAATTGCTTGTTTTATATACTTCAAGAATTCACTTTTTTCTCATAAAATAAGGCAATATATAATAAAAAATATATATATTTGATATTAGATACTAGTAGTGAAACTTTATATATTTCGTAAGGAGTATGTCTTCAAACAACATAACTTTTCCATTCAGCTTTATTTACAATAGCATTCCTGAAAAAACTTCTTCTAAATGGAATTTTCAAACTACTGATACTCAAATTTCTTTTCTTTTATTGACACAACTTACGTTTCATCTTACAGTTTACCTGTTTCAATGACAGGTATCATTCTCTTTTTATAGTGAAATTTTATATATTGTTACAAGACTTCAGACTTCATAACTACTTTTATTTAAATGATTGATACTCAAATTTCTCTTATTGACACAACTTACGTTTCATCTCATAGTTTACCTATTTTAATGAATTAGACGAGTATCATTCCGCATTTGTTTAGTGAAACTTTATATATAAGGTGGTGTCTTACTTAAATGACAGTTGAATTCTGCTGATGCACGAATTTCTTTTATATTTCATCTTACAGTTTACCTGCTATCATCTAATATATAAATTAAAAATTTTAATGAGGTTATAGTCATTAATTATGTATTAATAAATAAGGTATATTTGGATTAAAACGATTTAATGTTAAAATAATTTATTAAAAAATTAACTCTAACCTTCTTTACCAATTGAAAATTAAGTCACCTGAAGTAATTAAGAGTTAAGTTTATCAACAGAATATTCAATTTGCAAAAGTGTAATTTGCTTAAGGGTTTATTGATTAATGAAATTGAATATCTGTTGATATTTTACCTTTTATTATTTTATTTATCTAATTTATGATCCCTTAATTAAGTAATTAAAATCGTCAAATCGCATTAATGAGGTTTAATGTGCATTTTTTGATGCTTCCGGCAAAATTCCTATTTAACGATAACATTTACGAGAAACTGATTGGTTTCTCTTTTTAAAAATAGATTTATAGTTACTTAAAAGTGTAAATAGCATAATTATTTTCCAGTAAACTAAATTTTATAAAGTATTTAAAAAAAATAATGATGCTGTAAAATATTTCAAACAATAGAAACTTTGAGAAAAACCTGTGAAACTTTTAGGTTCATATTTTGAAGCGTAAGTTATTTATAATTTTGAAAAGGAGTTTTAATGCTAAAGACTTTATTTAATTAGAATTATAACAGAAAATTTTCAAAATATTTAATTTAATTTTTATTTTTTCTGTTTATCATAATATTGTATTTATATGCGATATCCTCTCTTCCTAACGAGAAACATACTTAACAGATGTTCTGGCTCGCGTAGTGAATTGTTTTAATATAGCTACGTTAGTTTTTTTTTTTTAATTCTGAGTGTTATTAGTCCATTTTTTAATAGTTAACTTTAAATGATTATAGATTAAAATTCGCTTCAATATCATTCGTGAAGTTTCTAAGAAATCTTGCAATTTTAAGAATCCTGATCTCGTCTTTTGTTCAGAATTAACGAATGTAATGTTTCAAACTTGTAATTTCTATAGTACAATTTAAATTTACATTCACATAATTTTTTAAAATAATAATTTACATCCAGTTTCGTGAATGTGAATTCATATTCGCATTCATTTAAATCTTGTAAGTTTTCAGGAATTCACTGGCAGAAAGCTTATTCTTCAAAGTGAATTACAAGAATAATTGCAGGAGTTAAAGGATACAAAGATATTATTCTGAATATTTTAATTTACAATACAGTATTAATTATGTAAAATATCAAAGAAAAAGTTTCAGTAAAGATGAACTTGCAAAATATATAACCGCTGATAACATAAAGAAAAAAAAATTAATAAATTTTGCTGAGGATGTGAAAGAGTGATTGATATCGAAGTGAAATTCAATTACATTATCACAAAACCGAAAAAAAATGTTGAATATAGGCCTATAAAAATATACAAAAGAATATTTATCATTATTACTATTTTTATATATCTACATATAACGTGATATCGTGATTTGAATATTATACAATTCATATCATTTAATATCATCATCATTTTACAGCGTATAATGATTATTTTTCGGATTTTTCTCGTGAATTTATTGAAATCAAAGTCATAATAACATATTTTCTAATGATTGTTATGTGTCTCTCGTTATCTTTACTGGAATATATTATAGAAAATAATGGTCAAATGATATCGCATGATATAATAAAACGTGATAAAAGCATAGAGAAATATTATTTCATTTTTAAAAATCGTTTATAGCGATTTTTAACATTATTTTTATATAATAGATTTCTAAATCTAGCAATAAAAGATTCAATAAATGCAATAAAAGGTTTGATAAATAATAAAATTATATAGAAATATAAAAATGTTTATGCTTCTGAAATACTAATCATAAATCTTATTAATAAAATTTTTAATTATAATTAAATAAAAGCTCTATTAAAAAGATCGAATTTTATATCCTAAAATACTAAATATAATCAATATTTTAAGAAATTCATTCCGAAAAACAATTTTTCTTTCAAAGAATTCAATTTAAGGTACACTTGTTTTGCCCGAAAAATGTACGGTACAATATTACATCACTTTGACGTAATTCTTACAGTATTTTTATGAGAAAAATGTGATAACGACGTCATTTTGACGTGCGAGTGTATACTATTTATAGAAAAAGAATGCCCCTTTAAAGATTTTATGCTTCTAAAATATAATTTTATGTTATACATCGATAATGTTTAATTATAATTAAATAAAATTTATATTAAATAATTCATTTTTAAATCTTCAAAACATTAAATATAACAAAAAAAAACCTAATTTATAAAAGTTTCTTATTGAACTCTGGTTTCTAAAAGGAAATTTTATCCATCGAAGAAATCATTTTAGAATAAACTTTTGAAATTTGAATAATGAATTCGTTTTTACTGAACAAAAAAAAAAGTTAATCTTTCAAACAGTTCTTCTATTTTTAACAACCAAAAAAATATAAAATAATTATGTAATTTTATATATTAATTTAGTTAAAATTTTAATCTTAAAATAAGAAGGAAAAAAGATAGTAGTGAATTGCTTGTTTTATATACTTCAAGAATTCACTTTTTTCTCATAAAATAAGGCAATATATAATAAAAAATATATATATTTGATATTAGATACTAGTAGTGAAACTTTATATATTTCGTAAGGAGTATGTCTTCAAACAACATAACTTTTCCATTCAGCTTTATTTACAATAGCATTCCTGAAAAAACTTCTTCTAAATGGAATTTTCAAACTACTGATACTCAAATTTCTTTTCTTTTATTGACACAACTTACGTTTCATCTTACAGTTTACCTGTTTCAATGACAGGTATCATTCTCTTTTTATAGTGAAATTTTATATATTGTTACAAGACTTCAGACTTCATAACTACTTTTATTTAAATGATTGATACTCAAATTTCTCTTATTGACACAACTTACGTTTCATCTCATAGTTTACCTATTTTAATGAATTAGACGAGTATCATTCCGCATTTGTTTAGTGAAACTTTATATATAAGGTGGTGTCTTACTTAAATGACAGTTGAATTCTGCTGATGCACGAATTTCTTTTATATTTCATCTTACAGTTTACCTGTTTCAATGATACTTTAGTAGTGAAATTTTATATATTTTTAAAAGAGGGATAAGACTTCAGACGTCATAACTACACCCGTTCAGTTTTATTTAAATGAAGGAAATAACTTAAATTCTGCTGATTCTCAAATTTCTTTTCTCTTATTGATTTAAATTCGTTCATGTTACAACTTATCGGTTTCAAAGTCTCGGAAAGTTGATGCCATTCAACCTGTCTTCGTTTCTTTAAAATTTAAAACATTTTAATCATTTATTTATGATAAATTTTAGTTAATATCAAGACTCAACTGTCTTCATATCAACTGAAATGTAACATATTCAAATTTACTGTAAATACAGCGAATCCGTTCTCTTAATACGAATATAATCTATCGAAATTAATTAAACAATTTATATAAAAATTATTTATTGGCTTTTTAAATTTAATAAGCTAAATTTATAAATTTATTATAACATGTTGAATCAGGAATTTTACAAAATAAACTATTATTTAGATTAAAGTTGAGCTTTTATGGTTAGTCAGAGCGGAATTTTATGCTGTAATACTTAAGTGGCATTTCCAATAATAATAAATTTAAAAGCGCAAGGCCCTGTGCTGTATAGTTTATATGTAAATCTGGCCCTTTCATTAGTTACAGATAGGCGCGTAATGAACTATCAAGAATTGTGTTATTCAATTATTTTTTTTATCAAACTCAACAAGTTAATTCTACAAAAGTAATTTTTATTAAAAAAAAATATTACTCAATTATATTTTCTGTTGAAATATAATACAACTTAGATACGAATTATAGCAGAAAATTGATTATCGATCTAACATTACATCTCCTATTTCTGCTACAATGAAATCTGAGTATTGCCATTTGATATTGGTTTCCTATTAAATTATCAATCAATCAATATCATCAAAATCCATTTAATATGGATTACAAGTTACGGAAAAAACATTTTTTCCCTTTTCTGTTCACATAAGTTTACGACGGTGTTTTCTATCCGTACAGTTTTGGTTAATACTTCTTTGGGATCGCGACCTACTGGTTGAATAATTAAAAAGTAAAGCGAATCTTTTCGGAAAGTAACGATAAATTCATAATAGATTTATTCCTATTTTTCGTATATTATATCATTACTTATAGATTATTTGTTACAATTTCGTAGATATAACTAGACTTTAATAATAAATTTAAGTGTTACTCTACAAAGTTTGGCATACATAGTAAGGCATAATAACCAACCTGCTGGGAGTGATTACCTGTTGTTTCGGAATTTCAATACAACTTATCGATTTCCGGATTTTGCTTCCATTACCAAAGATGATCAATTTTTTCAATAGTTCTATAAATAGTAAAAAAATTCTCTTTGCAATAATCCGATAACAAGTTGACTGACTCCATAATCCAATTGTGATGGACGAAACAATAATAGTATTGTCAGCTTACTGAATCGAATTTAGACTCTTATAAAGAAATTACCGTATGAAGATATTTAGCACATCATTTATAAATACGAAATCTTTATCCTTTGCCATTAATTAGATGAAAATTGGATATAAGACATCCCAAAGGAACAATTACTCTGTAATAAATTTGTAAGATTCTGAGGATTCTGAAGAGATTCTGAAACGAATTTGGAGAAAATAAGATAATATAAATGTCTTTGAAGTTATTAAATATATAAATATATAAATAAAATTTGATTCTAAAATATTACAAACGAATTATAACAAAAATTCATGATGTTAATATTCAAATTTTCAAGTTTTTCATTGATTTTTGCATTTAAACTTTTAAATTAGTGAAAAAACTTTAATCGATTTTTCAAATGGTTGCATAATTTTTAAGATTCAACCATATCCCAGGGAATTTTTTTTATTAACACAATTTTGCCAGGAGCAAAATTTTGATCATAATGTAAGTAGATAAAGCTCTGGTAGGTCTTTATCAATCAGGAACACCAGCTCTCCAGATGATGTTCGTATTATACGTTCGATTGGCAAGCTCCTCAAAGGGAAGCAAAAGCAAAAAATGCTGTTATCTAAAGAATTATTTTCGACGGGAAAAAAGAATATACACCAAAAATCTTGAAGAATAAAAGATAGGAAAATAATACACCTATCGAAACAACTTCCAAGTTTAAAGATTCTATTTCGTTTCCATAAAATTATATAAAATGATCAATTTTTATAGCGTAATCTCGATAATGATTCACGCATCTTTAACACAACTTGATAAATGTTCTAAACAGTGTAAAAAATTAAAAATAAAACGTCTCAATTGTTCCACTCAATTGAAAATCAATAAAGTGACAGAAGTACGAACGTTCTCACTTAAAACAGAGTTCAAATCTCTTGAGCATTGTACAATACGTAGCACGAATTTGTTAATTAATCATTGGAAAATTTACGTCATAGGGTTGATATAGTATATAATTATCTGACAAATAATTCTTACAATTTAAATTCAGATAAGAGATAATTTCATTCCTTTGAGATCATCATTTCATATTAGAATCCGAGATGATAATTTGAAAGGAACATAGCGGGGTTGTCTCAGATAACAATAACCTGATGCATTAATGCTTAATTTAATAAATGTATAAATTAAGTTACAACATTACTTATTTGCTCATTATTCACTAGATCTAATGGAAGATCAATAGATTTCTCAATTGCTATTGTTAACAATTAAAATAATTATCGTTAAAGTTTTAAATGGTTTCTTCCATAAATTTCTACTTTTTTTAGTAAATGAAATTTATATTTTACTCTAGAAACGTCTCAAGATAGATTTTTCTTATTATAGAAGCTAATAAATTTGATTGAAATTTATCAAATGTTGTGTTTATTGACATTCTATTCCTTTAAACATATTAAATTTCAACTTTGAAATATGAGCAATTTGACTAGAAAGAAACTCTAATAAAACTATAAAACTTCACTTAATTTTTTTTATTTAGAGAAAAAATTATTCAAGATACTATTTTATTATATGCCAAAATAAAATTTGTCCTCTAGATTGAAAGACGGCTGTGTTAAGGCGTTGGTTTCTATTTGGCTCGATGGCGGGTTTGAATCTCACTTTGTGCATGGGTTTGTGTTTGTTGAATTTTAATGGGTGTTGTTGTTTGGGAAGTGCTTTAACGTCACTAAAATAAGAAGCGTTGCACGTGACAATTAAAATTTAAAATAGGCTATTTTTGAATTTTATAAAATAATAGTTTTTGTTTAACTTTATTTTTTTTTATTTGATCAAATTATAGATTTTTGCCAAGTTAAATTTATTAGGTAAACTTCAAAAAATTTTCTAAAACTTAGGCAAAATTTTATAATACTATCGAATAAATTCTCTAAAGATGCTTCCAAAATTTCTATAAAATCTGTAATAATATTTAATGATTTCTAAAAGTTCTAAAAATTAGGTAAAATCTATAATAAATATCAAATGACTTCTATAAAGCTTAAACAATGTTTATGCTCCTATTCAAAACAACTTTTTGATCAGATTCTTAAGTAATTTGTCTCAAGTTAACGAGATTAATTAATTCTTGGGCATTTTTAAATATAATAAAAAGGAAAAAAATCTAGCTAATGTGCTAAGCAAAGTAAATAAATTTCATTAAAATATATGAAAAAAAAATATTATTAAATTACATTAAGTTTTAACTCAAAATTTATAATTATCGGTTCGCTCATTTTAACAAAAATAAACGTATTATAGAAGACATGCCACTTATCCATAATTTGATATGGCATGTAATTTGACTACCAAAGAAACACAAAGGAGCTTATCATGTTTATTTTAACGACTATAAACATCAGAATATCTGAGTTTGTAACAGATCTCTATGCACGGTACTGTACAGTACAAGATGTATTTAATAATTATGAGCATGCTTAATATAGATAAATTTCACTTATTTATTTTACTTATTATTCTAAATATAAGATAAATTCAATATGTTATAAATAATTAGAAACAGACAGAGGAGTCCACAAACCCTATTTGGATCGGATTCGGGATATAAATAGGCCCCAAATTTAGTTATTTATGTATTTAGATACTGTATTTTCGGAGAAGAGGGGTTGTCGTTTTGTGTATATATTCGGGAAAATAATAATGAATAAGAAAAATGTCCCTTCTATCCCTTACGGTTTCTCTCTCCGTAAGGGATAGAAGGGAGAGCCCATGGAGTTTCTCTCATATCTGTGAATAGCTTGAGTCCCAGCTAGCGAATGACAGTAGATCATTTCTCTTAGTATTCGAACACAGAGAGAATCCAAATTTTAGATTTTTATGTAAAAAAAAACTGATATCAAAATGGTTAAACTGTTTTTTTTTATTTGTTTATTGATTTTGAAGAGGTGGAGGTCTCACTTTGTACCTTATAAACTCTCCCAGGAGCTGCATACAATATAGTACATTAAAAAAGTACATATTAAAAAATCGTATTTTTTCGTGTACTTTAGTTTAAAATTAAATTAATTTGAATGAATTTTTTAAAAAAGTATTTAATCAGATAACTACATTAAAAATTATTTTATTTGCTTTTTTTAATATCTTAATCTTCTCTCTTTCTAATTATTGATTGCTTCATAAATATAATTAATTAGCGTATTTGTTTCTTAATTCGTTTATCCCCGTTATGATTATTTCATAATTACATTTATTGTCATTTAATTAAATATTCATTGAAGCATTAGCATCATAATTTCTCTTATTACTCATAATTTAAGAAGAGTATTTACACATTTTTTAAAAAAGATTTTTAAAAGAAATAAACCGTTGTTTAAATTTAAAATTTACACATTAATCGCCCTTACTATGTAAAACCTTATTATAGAATTTCCTAGAAACATTGTAGAGTAATTTTCCGGAAACTGGTTAAAATACTTGAATCGGAGTTTACTGGATTAATAAAATTAATCCATCTTAATCCTTTGTATAATTGTGTGACTTTACGCTTAACGATTTTAAAGGACTTTCGACTAACAATCAAATCTCTGATGAATTACGTTGATACATTAATTTGAATCAACGAGTTGACGAAGAAGAAGAAAACTTTATCAACAACTTCCTTACTCAAAACGGCTACAGAATGAAAAATAAGCGAAAGAATACATTAAAATATTATAAAAATCTTAGCATTTAAGTCATCAGAAGGTACAGTACTGTACACCAAGCGGCTTAAAAAGTCAATATGCAAAGAAATTTACATACGCTATATTGACACGATATCAATATCGTGAGGATTTATAAAAATAAATGGCAAAAGTAGATAAGTTTTGAATTAACATTTTTCTAAACTTTGAAATTAATGATAAAGTTACCGGTCCAATTCTCTTTAAAATCATTTTGGAGAATACTTAAACTGCTAGGCGTTGAAGTATGAAGAAAATTTTGCGAAAAGCAGAGTCTGTGTCACATGTGACGGTTAGGATAATCAATCAACATTCTCTTTTGGGAGATCTTATCTCAGTCTGTTCAATGGAAGCAAAAGACTTTTAGTTAGCGAGTGTAATATACCTAAGGGGCCTTTTGACTAAAACATTTTCATTAGTTTTAATATTTACACGGTGAACGATTTCTAAAAACTCTAAAGATTTGCTTAGATTACGTAATAAAAATCGCACTTTCGCAATTTTCATGTATACAAAAGATAAATTTTATACTTTTATGGTAAATTAATGAATAACTCGTAAGTAAAAAGTAAATAAATAAGATAAGAGACGAGATATAACTAATGTTTAAACTTAACAGAATATTAAAGTCTTTTGTTGTTGCTCTTATTGTTAATTTTTATAAATTAAAAAAATCTTAATTAAAAAATATTTGATAAAATAAATAAAATAGAGGATAAGATGTAACTAATTTTAAATTTAATACGGTACTAAATCCTTTTATGTTGTTGTTATTATTGTCATTTTTACAAATTAATTAACAGGCGTTTTCTAACGTTAAGAGTTAATAACCTTTAAATAATACTAAATAAAGAATAAAATGCAATTAGAATTTAAACTTAGTAAAATATTAAAGTCTTTTGTTGTTGTTGTTTAAATTTTTTACAAATTAAAAAGTAGTTTCCTAATATTAAGAGCAGCCCAAGTAAAAAAATTCAAATCATTAAGACTAACGGATGAGATGAAACCAATATTTAAATTTAGTAGAATACTAAAGTGTTTTGTTATTGTCTCTGTTGTTGTTAGTTTTAACAAATCAAAAAGATTTTTCCAATGTTTACTTATTTTTTATCCTCATTAATAATAAAAGTTTAAAGGGGTTTTCTTTGCTTAATTAGCCCGAACCCTAATTAATTTTTGCTAAATTAAAGTTTTATGTATACAGTACAACTTTTTATTTTATAAATTCGTTTCTTCGGAAAAAATCTTTTAATAAAAAAATAGTTAAGCTCTTGTTAAAAGAATTACAATACAAAAATATCAGATTTATTCTTAAGATAAAATAAGTCTATTCATCAAAACAAATTAAAGATAAAATAAAAAAAATATATATTTTTAAATTTTTTTAGTTCATTCCTAATTACTTCTAAAGATACTAATTAATTTTTTAAATATATTAATAAAGGAAGAATCACAGTTAATATTATCTTTAAACAAAGAGTTCTCGGAACTCAAGAGACTTAGAAGAAAATAATTATTGTTATTACTTAAAAAGGACAAGAATTTTAAATAATTTCTTCCATTTATTCAATTATAAATGCACATTACCTTTTAAATTATTAACTTAACATTTTATGTTAGAAAGTCAGCTTCTAAGCTCATTATAGTGCTTTAATTGTACAGTACAATAAGTAATTTTGTTTTTAATTTCAATAAATATAAAGAAAATTTAAATTGTTTAAAGAAGATCTAAATTATTTTTCTTCATTCAGAATAAACATCCTCCCGAATTCATCTTAAGCCCACGTAAAATTAATAAGCTCGACATAATTACAATCGTTAATGACATGGATGATTCACAATTATTGTGAAACACTGTTTAGGATAAACCTCACCCACGTTAATAGTTCGACCTTGCACATTTCCTCTTATCTCCTAAGATCAGATTTACTTCCTTTAGAAACCAATTAGGTATGTTACTATGAGAGAAAAAAAATTATTTTACCTTTACTAGGTTTGGGGCTTCTGAGACATGTTCCTTCTACACATTGCAGTTGATTACGAGAACAATGACAGTCTTCTCGTCTTTTGCAAACTTTACCTTCAAATCTTTTGCAGCTTGCCTGTAATTATAAATAATAGGTAATTAGGAGAACAATTAAGTATTCCACGGATAAAATTCGAACTTTGGATAGGGTAAGACGGCATTCTAAATTTTATTATCGATAGAGAGAAAAGTAATTACCGTTAAAAAGTTGCATTTAAAACTACTTGCAGTTGGTTAAGATAAGAAAACGAATTAATTTTAAATTCTTTAAAACGAAAATTTAACGATAAAGATTTTAAAAAATTATCTGTTTTCATAATGTATTTACCAATTACAATTTCTTTTAGAAGAAAACAATCGTCCGTTACACAAAAATAATCAAAATCGACCAATCGTTGATGTAATTTTCATAAACGACCGTTTTTTTCGATTTCAAATTGAAATTTTAAAAAATAACGGTCATGTATTTTTAAAAATGTATGAATAAATTTAAATTTTTCTTTATTTTAAATAAAAAGTAAAATTACTACATAAACTTCGATTAACTAAATCAGAAAATAAAATTTTGTAAATTAGCATAAAAATAAATAAAAATAAAATATTTAAATAATAAAAAAAACAATACTTTATGAAAGTATTGTTTTAATTAAGTTAAGTTGCACTTGTAAACGTTCCTTAATGCTTCGTATAAAAATTCCTTTATCAGCTACAGCGTAAACTCAATGATGTATAACTACGAAGGTGTCAAAAGCAGGCGTCGGAGGCGCAATTTGTCTTGTTTCTCGAGGAAATGCCCCTAGCTTTTGTTTGATATTAATATCCTTTTGCAAAGTGTTTCTAATAGGGATAAATCTCAAAATAACTTCACTGTAAAGAAATAACGCGATAAAAATTTCACGTCTCTTCAATGCTTATTAAATCTTTTAAGAAGATATACTGTATATATTCATTGCACGTTCCATATTTTTTCCACTAACGAATAATTCACAAATATTATAAATTGACTTTTTCGTTAATCGTGAAAGTTTCTTATACTATTTTTATCTATACAATTTACAAAATAGAGACGTATTAAACTAGTAAAATCGATATTAATTTCATATCGCCCATTTTCTATCTTCTGAAAGTTACAACGTGATAAAATCATATTCACATCGGTAAATATAATACGTGATTAAACATATAAATTCAGTTATATTTTATCTTTAGGTAAACAATATTTTTATATTTCGACATTAAGAAATCCGATTTTGTCTAATGGACGATAACAATAACAGAAAATCTCAAAAGAAAAGAATTTTTACTGAGTTTATATTAAAATAAAACTGTTTACAAAAAGTATTTTAAAGTTTTTAGGTATTCTTACGGCGACTTATATATATATAGGCCTATATATATAAGATTACGTTAGTATTCCGTCTGTATGTCTGTCGTTATATGTTTGTTGAATATGTAGAAGATCCCTTGAGATGAGGTCATGAAATTTTCAGAATAATTTTAGTAAGCCAAACTACGTTTTTTATATCAATTTTCATTAAAATTATGGCAAACATTTTCGAGAAAATTGAGATAATTTCGAATATTTCAATTTAAAATTTGCTGTTAACGTAACTGTCAGTTTAAATAAATTGTCTCATTAATATAATGAGAGAATTTTCTGACTTTTTCAATAGCCCTATATTGAAATTTCTTTCGAGAACTTTTTTGTTTCCAATTATTCCGTTTATCACTTAAGAAGTCATTTTACATTTATAAAATTTTCTTAGAAATAAAATAATCTCTTGTATTTAACTTTTGTATAAAATGATTGTTATAAATTTTTAAATGATTTATGTAAAATTATCTAAACCGCTGTTTAATGTTATTTTAAGGCCAATAAAAGACCTTAAAATAGTAACACTCATCCATTTTGTATTTACGAATCAATTAGTACAGAACATAATATAATATCATTATAATAGAATATATAACTCAATAATGACATCGTAAATCATATTTCTGTATTTCCGTATCTTGATTTATCTATCCTAGTTATTAATAATGTTTCGAAATGAACACTTTTTAATAACAAGTACAGGATTATATATATGAAGATATGATCCGAAAATTCTTATTATTTTTTATAAAAATATTATTATATATTTAATCATTTATTTAAAATAAATAAACCATCTTACATTTAATGAATGATTATTTTTTAACAGATTATTTTAAAAGTAGCTCATTTTAATTGCTTAAAAGTGAATCTATATTGCTTAAATATTGATATTTATAGATTTTAGACTACAGTATGAACCAAAAGTCAGTTAACCATTGTACAGATTAAATTATTGCCTCATTCAAATATTTTAAAACTGTATAAAAATTGTTTAAAACGAGAGTATTTCTGTTTAATACACAGATTGTAATGTTTTAATAGTTTTCTCGAACGATTCACACGGTTAACTGACGTTTGATCTTCCCTGTATTTTAAATTCAATACTGTAGTTTGTGTGAGAAGATATTATTTCAGGCTAATCAAGCAGAAATGTGTATCCGAAATTTAAAAAATAATAATAAATTTACATAAACAATGTAACAAAATATTTACTAAAAGGTTACTCCATTAATTTAAAATAAGAAAAGAATAAATGCGATACGCATAGATATAAACTACATGAAGATTGATTTGCTACATTTGCAAGTAACTGATTGGCGAAATTGGTTATTTAGTCACCAACTAATTGAAAACAGTTGATTAGTAAAAGATTTGATCAAACATCACATGATTTATTTTTTCGGGAATGATGTCTATCGCTGTTACTTTTTCCATTCTCCATCAACCATAATGTTCTGAAGTTTAGAATCCTATAATTGGAGCTATCTTGAAAGGAATCAACCAGATCAATTCTTTCAGCTTCCTGAGAGAATTTACTCTCAGTGGTTAAAATAAAGATACTATCGTCTTCTTAGTATTTACTTTAAAAATCATTTGAATTTTTATTTATATCTTTTTTTTTTTCTATAATCTTCAAAATTAAGTATTTGAAGTCAGCATTTACATGTTTTAGAATTTGGATCATTCAAGTTAAGTTTTATATCTCGATCATTTTGGAAGCGAAAGACATTTATTTTATAGTTTATTTCTAAAATTATCTTATCAATAGATACGTTAAAATATTTTTAATTTAGTTAATCGTTGGCATAAAATATCGCATTTCTTGATACAAAATATAAAGTTCAAACTAAGCGCTTCACTCTAATAATTCAACTCGAACTCATTAACAATATTCCTAATTAATGAAGTCGATTAAAATTTACTTTTATATTTATAAAATATAAAAAGAAAGAGACAATAGCTATTTATCTATTAACGCGGTCAGCTCGACGTGACCCACAGATGGATCGCATTACAGTTTGACACAAACGATGTGTATCACGGTGAGTCACACTTAATGCTGATTTGTATAGTGATTTATTGAAATCCGTCTTGTAGTTCAATGTTTTTATTATCGATCCCTGTACATAAAATGGCAAATAACTTATTATTAGCGTCAAGACCTTTCTAAGAATATGGAAAATAATCTTTATATAAATAGTAGTTATATTATATAATTTAGCTGATATAATTACAAGTTAATATTGTAATAATTTATTCTCATATTTAAACAATATATAATAAGTAGGAATTGAGTGTTTCGGTATTAATTTAATCGCCAAAATGGCAGGAAAAGTCTGATGAAAACTAGGCTCATTGTCTAGCATTCGAGTAAATATCAGTCCAATAGGGCTGACAAGTCCACTTGTGAGCTAGAAACGCTTTAATATGAAGTTAAAATTGAGATAAAGCAAATAAAATTCAGATTAATTATCTAAATGTGTATTGTACTGTACTGTACATCAGAAACCATCAGATGGCGTAGATTATCGATGAGTCACGCATCTGAGAACTAAAAAATAATCAAAAATAGAATTTTCTACGTAAAATACTTTGATATAATACAAAAAAATTAAAATATTAGTTCGATATATTAATACCCTTAAAACCATTTGGCACTTGAGTACAGCAATTGACACGCTCTAATCTTGAATTGTAAAATATTATAATATATAAAAATAAGAAAGAATTTTTATATTTTAAGATAATTAAACACAGCGATTATTTTTTATATTAAAATATTAGCAAATCTCAGTATCTTGTTTTGGATTTCTGCAAGAAGATATATATTTTATCTTTACCTTAACATTTCTTTTCTTTTCAGTCATTATTAAAAAATTTCAAGATTTTTGCTATATATTCACACTTAAGTACTTAAAACTCATAAAACACGGTATAAATTGTATATAAAATATATTTAATGTAAGTAAAAATGGGCGTATTTATTATTTCGCATATGAAATTGTATCTATATATTTACAAATAGAATAAAATTTCAACATTTATTTTCCAATCTATTGTAGAAATAGGTTTATATAATATAATATTACTATTACTAATCAATAATAACATAAACAAAGCATCAAATTCGCAAAAATAAGTTAAATTTGAATATCATTGTTAATTTTCAATTTTAAAAATCCAATTTCAATATTCTACAAGGTGGTTCAAAAGTTAACCGAGTTTTTTTCCTTGTTTCAGATACTGTTATGAAGATAAATTGTGTAATGAGTTTAGAACAATGTTTCCCCTTACAAACCAGTAAAAAATTTGATTAAAAATACAATTAAATTAGTTGTAATTTAGTCTTTACAACGGTTTTTGTGCCAAACTGTACATAAACACCTACGTAAAAAATGTAGCTGCCTAAACCATAGTTATTGATGTAACGATAGAATACTGTAGCGACACGCATTAAACAATCGTTACTATTCGTAACCATTTCGTACTGTACTTAAAAGATGATTCAGTTTAAATCTTGTTACTATGAAAATGAATTTTCAAATTTACCTTACGTTTAATTACCTATTAATTTATTCGAACATTAAAAATAATGAATATCTTTACATCTTACAAACCATATGTACTAAAATTGTACTAATGTACTAATATTAATGTGGCCTGCCCGATGGAAGTGTTTTTTCAATTTTTTTCAAACA